CTGTTCTGCCCTGCTCAGAACAGAACCATTCTGTATCATGTATAAAACTTTCCTGAATACTGTCCGTGCCAAGAAGCAAAGGTTATCAGGTTAGGAGAGTTTAAAACACAGTACACAATTCACAACACAGCAAAATGTGTCATTTTGCAGTGTTGTAAGTCATGTTGTATCATGTACAAAACTTTCTTTGAGTTTGTTTGTGCCAAGGAAGAAAGGTTGCCAGGGTAACGGACGTGCCCTGTGAAGTCTTTCCTCTAGTTTTACTCTGTCACGTAGCACACTGGTTCTTAACCTTTGTTACTCAGATGTTTTTGGACTGCAACTCCCAGAAGCCTTCACCATCAGCTCTGCTGGCTGAGGTTTCTGGGAGTTGCAGTTCAAAAACACCTGAGTAACAAAGGTTAAGAACCACTGACGTCGTAGCACACCGAGAAGAGCTGGAGCACAATGTCTGTGAAATGGAGGCTGCTGCTTCCTTTGCTTCTTGTATCCTTCTCGCCCTTGGTTTCCACTGGAAGTGTCCTTGTGTGGCCGGCTGACCACAGCCACTGGATCAATCTGAAATCCATCATGGATGAGCTGACAGCCAGGGGCCATCAGGTGACTGTGCTACTGCCTTCATTCTTCCAGGCTGCTAACACCCATGAAACGCTTCTGTTCCAATTGGAAGTGATCCCTGTTCCATTTTCAAAAGCAGACATGGATTCATTAATTCAGGACGGCATAGTCTTATTTTCTTATGAGAAGCATGAAATTTCTTCCTGGGAAATGTTCACTAAGCTTTATTATTTGATGAGTGAGCTGATGGACAGAAACAAAATTATCTGTGACTTAATTGTGTCGAACGAGAAACTGTTGAAGAAGTTGGAGTCAGCTCATTTTGACATTCTCATTTCTGACCCACTCGCACCATGTGGGGAACTAGTGGCTGAGAAGCTGCATCTCCCGTTTATATATTCCTTCCGCTTCTCCAGTGGGAACACCCTGGAGCGTCTTTGTGGTGGTATCCCATCTCCTCCGTCCTATGTGCCTGCCAGTCTGGGAGGGCTAACGGACCGGATGACCTTCCTGCAGAGGATGGGGAACATGCTCTTTTACCTCTCACAAGATGTTATGTTTCATCAGGTTATCTGGAAAGACTGGAATAAATACTATAGTGAAGTTCTAGGTAAGAATTTGTTCTTAATTCTCACCATGGCATTTCTCATGTTTACAACAATAAGGCCATATCCATGTATAGTTATGGGGTGTGTATGTATGGGCTTGCCAGTCTGGGCGAGTTAACGGAGAGGATGTTCTTTGTGAAAACGACGGGAAACTGGCTCTCAAGCCCATGTCTCAGAAACCTACCTGTTTCATCTAGAAAGATTGCCATTCTCGTTAAAAGTCTACTCGTATTTCCAATGAATTGTTTTTTCAAAACCTATAAAGCCTGGTTCACTTATAAGTATTTGTCCAATAATTTTCCTAACCTTGGTGACTGGCAGATCAATAAACAAACTTTACCACTGCACAAGAACACAGTGATGTTATTGTGCTGACGGAACAAATCAACATTCTGTAAGGCAATTCTAAAAATGGGTAAGCACAACTTTGAAGCTTCCTCTTCCTGCTTTGCCTTCAGCCATACGCATGGGCTTGCTCATATCTGCTATCACTTGGAAATCATTTCAGCACTTTTGATGGTCTACTACTTGTAACTCTTCGTGTGCACCAGTAAAATTACAGCTTAATGGCAAAAAAAATTAAATAATTTATTTTGGGTTTTCGTTTGAGAGAATGTGTACCTTTTTAAGAGGACAAATGAAGGTAGTTCTTGAATCAGAATTTTTCTTGTTTCCAAAAAATAAAAGCTGGCATATTGGAGAGAGATGATTTCACTTGTGACAAGTGGAGAAATAGTCATGTATCCTGGACTGGTTGAATCCAATTGTGTTATTGGTTTTGCTTTTGAAAACCCTATTAGGGTCACCATAAGTCAGTTCTAACTTGATAGCATAAAGCAACTGTAGCGCATACCCTGCCTTCCCATATATGTCATGGTATTAGCCTGCACCAATGGGAGTTGTTGGGGGGCGGAGCCAGAGTGAAACTAGAAGGGAGAGGTGAGTTAGAATGAGATAGAGTTGGAGTTAGAGGCTTGACAGTTGGAGAGTTAACTGTGAAGTGGAGAGTCAGGCTGTGGAGAGTTCAAGGTGGCAGTTGAGAGTGAAGACGTTAAAGAAAGTTAAATAAGGAATAAGTTATTAAGAAGCTAATAAATGCCTTAACATCTTTTAACAATTTATTCAAATGAACTGTAATCAATAAACCTGTTTTGTGTTGAAAGTCACACAGTGTATGGGCCTCAATCTTTTTGAGTAAATTGTGTTGGTAAGTATCAACTGGTGGCAGCGTAATTTTTTTAAATTTTTTTTATTTCTAAAGAAATGAAAAGACAATCCATCATATTACAAATAATAAATACAAAGCTATTCCCCACAATTCTCCAAATGACATTTATACCATTCCCCATCACATTTTAAAGAAATATCGACCAACAATTTAAATGCTCCAAATGGTTTTCCAAACCAGATGTCTCGAAGTTTATTTTGTTGGCATATTTTAATAAAGGCTTCCAATTTTCAGTGAATTGACTGTGGCTTATTTTTCCCCTATATAATCTAACTTTATTAGTCATTTTTCCATCAACATTGTATGCATTATCTTATTCGTAAATGCTTGTAATGAGAGATCTTGGGCTTTTTCCCAATTTCTAGCGATTTCAGATCTTGTGGTGCCTATAAGATTTGCAACTAATTATTTTCTAGTTTCTCAGTTCTCCCTGTGAATAATGAAAATAACAATAATGTTTCACTGATATCTATTTTTTGATTAGTCGGTGTCTCTATCCATCTAATTACCTCATGCCAGAATCCTTTTTGTCCACTGTTTCTCCAACATTTATCGCATATTAATTCTATGTAGCTTTGTAGGGTATAGATGCCACCGATGCACTAGCTTCCGAACCATTTCTTTCACATTTGCTGACGTAGATTTATATGGGCATTTTTTTTCCAAATTCCTGTCCAAATTTTCTCAGGTATATTAATATTTAAATTTGTTTCCCACACTGTTTTAGATCCACTCTTTCCATATTCTTTCTCAGTAATGCTTTTATATATTAGTGAGGTTAGTCCTCTCTTTTTATTTTTGTCTTTTTGAATACATCACTAACCACCCCAAGTAACCTTTTTCATCCTTTGGCATGGGAATTATCATGAAAACAAAGGCCTCTGTGCTAGAGCAAAATCCTGTCATGGATAACACAGCATAAACTACCCATATGAGGACACACATTTACCACTCCACCTGCTGGAAGTTAGGAAACTTTTTCTGCCCAATATACAGAGTTGTCTTTGTCTTAGTAAGAGGAGCAACATGTCACACACCTCCAGTTCCCCTGTTTGTTCTTCTACACACCCAGGTTCCCTTTCGGGCATGACATTTAATTTTTACTCTTTTCCGCTGTCAATCATTGAAAGTTTTTATTAAAGTTACAGGTGTTCTTTATTGATTTACTCAGAATTACAAGCATTGAAATATCTTTTGTTTATTTATTTGCCATTTAATCAATTTGTGTATTTACTTGTTACTATTCTCACTTCTAACTTTCTTTTTCTCTAACCTTTGAAATCCTAACTCTAATTCTAACACATCCCTAACTGAAATCCTTAACTGATGTCCCTAACTGAAGTCCCTAACTGATCTTTAACTGTCTTTCATTTTCTTTTTATATTTTCTTGGTTCTGCCCCTTCTGTTCAACCATTGGTTGCTAAATCAGGGTTCCATTGTGATGGACCAGAGTGGTTACTGACCTGTCTGTCACACAACCCTAGCTGATTCAAGACTTATGTTCTGCTGACAGGCAGGAGCTCGAGGTAGAAAATGGCAGAAGTATCTTCATAGCCTAGTGCAGGGGTCTCCAAACTATAGTCTGCGGGCCACATCTGGCCACTTTGCCCGCAGTGCCACCACATGCCGTTCTCTCATCTTGTCTAGTTACCCTAAATAATGTACATTTGTCAGATTCTAATCCATTAATAAGTACCGTAGCACCTGTTCCTCTCTATAATTCCTTTAAAACTTTAATAATTTTTCTACCCATATTCATCTTTTCCAACAGATCAAACATAAATTTCCATTCCACCCGATCAAAGGCCTGAGGGGCATCCAGTGAGAATATTGCTATCTTCTTTTTTTTCTTTATTAGCTGTATATATAATATTCAGTACTCTCCAGATAGCATCTCACATTTGTCTTCCTGGCATAAACCCATATTGCTCTGTATGAACAGATTTAGTTACAAAACTACTTAATCTTTGTGCCAATATTGTTGAGAAAAAATTTTGATCTTGATTTTGCAATGTTATAGGTCTGTAAAATGAAGGCGACATTGGATCTTTTTCTGGTCTTAATATAGTTATTATTCTGGCCATATGCCATGACTCTGGCATTTTCTCACCTCCTAAAATTGAGTTGAATAGCTTTAGAAGTTCTATGATATCTTCTTCCCATACTTTATAGAAATTAGCTGTGAACCCATCACAGCCTGGTGCTTTTCCTTTCTTAAGTTTTTTAATAACTGAATTTATCTCAGTTTTCATTATTGGGCTGTTTAAATAATCTGGCTCTCTAAGAACATTAATAGAATTTGAACAATAATGTATAATTTTTTTTCAAACTTTATTCAACAGTACCTGCATACTTGCTTCTGAAGTAATACCATTCCAGGTTCTGCGGCCAGTCCTAATTCTCTGTTGTGTGATACATGCATTTGTATAAATATCAACTATTCCTGCAATTCTGGATCACAACTCCTTTTTATTTTTTTACAAATAAAGTGTGTATTATAAAGCTGAAAACATAATGTGTGAATCAGTTTTCATTTCTGAAAACAGGGTTTCCTTGTGCAAAGAAAACTCAAATTGAATTTAATCCCACTTCTTTTCTTTTGTAGGGAGACCCACAACCTTGTGTGAAACCATGGGTAAAGCAGAAATGTGGCTAATCCGAACCTACTGGGACTTTGAATTTCCACGGCCTTTTCTGCCGAATTTTGAGTTTGTGGGGGGCCTGCACTGTAAGCCAGCAAAGCCGCTGCCTGAGGTAATTCTCTCTTTGTAGTTCAACCAATAATGATCAAATCAGCTGTTTCTTTTACATCATGCTTTGAAAAAAAATGAGTTGTGGGGAGGAGGTGAGTTTACTATTTCGAGCTCTACATTTCCCCTCATCTAGTTCCAAGTCTGTTTATGGCTTTGTAGCATCTCCTGTAGAAACCATTTACAGGTACCTCAAACGGCTGATTTCAGGTGACATTAGGAAGTTCACGTGTTATATGTAACACATGTGCATTTTAAATGCAGGAGCAGGCTATACTTTCAATTGTCCATTGATAATATAAAACAACAAAAGGCAAAAAACAAAGACAGTGGGGTGGGGGAATGCTTCAGTCAGGCTTCCCCAGTCTATGCTGCAGGGGCACAGAAAAAGGAAGCATGAACAAAGCGATGTCCCCCCTCTGTCTTTGCAAAGACAGCAGGATGGGGGATCACTTTGATCAGGCTTCCCCCATCTTTCTACGCCCAGGAAGGCAGACCCAAGGGTCTTTTCAAAGACAGAGACGGGTGAAGGAATCGCTTTGCTCGGGCTTGCCCAAAGGGAAGCCCTCCTCCTCACTACTCTTTGCAAAAGCTAGGCTGCCGGAACTGAAATCACGGTTGCAGTAGTCTCGCTTCTGTTTCGGTGAAAGCGGTGGCAGAGCAGGAGGAGGCAGCTGGGCAAGGTAAGCGGCAGTGGGAAGGGGGTGGGGGCAGGCTGTGAGTGTGAGGGACTCAGTTTTTTTTTTAGATAACCGCACCAGGGGAAATGTGTGGTTCATGGGTCATCAAGGTTGACGATCCATGAACCAAGACATCCTCATCTCTAGTCAAAATCATGAAGTGACTGCCTTGCTCTGTCTCATAGTGAGCTAGACTTGCCTCTTATGAAAGCGCACCTAATACACATCTGATACATTCCAGGCTTTCTTGAGCATTGTTTGAAAACTAATCCTTACGGGACTATGAAAATGGAGACAAGCTCTTTCCTTTCACTCCATTCTGATCAACCAAGAACTTATTACTATAACCCATGTATACATTTCCAGCAGCGAACAACTTCATGATCAATCATTCAGCTCTCTTTCTGTTTTTTAACAGGAGATGGAGAAATTTGTCCAAAGTTCAGGAGAACATGGTATTGTGGTGTTTTCGCTAGGCTCAATGATTAAAAATTTAACAGATGAAAAGAGTGCTATGGTTGCTCTGGCACTCAGCCAGCTTCCACAGAAGGTCAGTTTTCAGGATGTAATTTGCTAAAATAATTATTTGTATGTGTAATCTGTAAAAGATAGGTGACTCACTGGCTGAAATCTGTTGTTGTATGTTAAGAAATCGTCACAAACACTATCTGTTGCATAATAAGTTTTTGCTGTAAATTAACAGGTCTAATAAAGAAAAAAAAATCACATCTGTTTTATTTTATGCAAGATTCTTTAAGTCTGTGCCTAACTGACCAAACTGAAATGAATGGCAATTGAATCTGCTAATTGTGCAACTTCAAATGCATCATGCTCAGTGTTTTTAGTTCTTTTAACTTCTTCCTTCAGTTCTTCCTAATGTTGATAAGGAAGAACCTTAGAGCTAAATGGCCAAAGTTGCACTCAAAATGGTTGCTATATTAGCTTGCACATTGATTTATTTATTGGGGTGGAAAGGTAGAACACAATTTTAAAAAATAAATATGGAGGATAACATTTGGATGTAACCCTATATATATTTAATGATTGAGAAAGAACTTGTCTAAGTACCGACCAATAATGTGGAGATAAATAATCCTGTTAGAACATACAGTTGCAGTTAAAGAGCCTCCAAAAATAAATATGATTGTGAAGTTGAGCAAAATAAACAGGAGGCCTTGTACCTTTAACATTCTTCCCCGTGTTTTCTTCTTTTTCAGGTTATTTGGCGGTACAAAGGGAAAAGGCCAGAAACACTGGGAGCCAATACTAGGGTTTATGACTGGATTCCACAAAATGATCTTCTTGGTGAGAGACATTCTCCTACAGCGAGAACTTAAGTTCATCGATGTTCAAATGTGGGAGAAGGAGAAACTGTCAGATTTGCCTAACTGTAAAAAATATGACTTCAATCTGTTCCTCCTGTTGACCTCCTGACTGCCACCAACTTCTGTTTTCATTGGACTTTGATGGGTCTTGCAGTCTCTGTTTGCTTTTTGGGTTTTTCTTTTTGCATTTCTGATGGGTTTTGCAGTCTTTGTTTGCTTTTTTGGAGTTTTCTTTTTGCATTTCTGATGGGTCTTGCAGTTTCTGTTTGCTTTTTGGCGATTTTTATTTATTTTTTTGTGCATTTCCGAAGGGTCTTGCAGTCTTTGTTTGGCTTTCTGGGGTTTTCTTTTTGCATTTCCAATGGG